GTCGGGTCCTGCTGCTTTCCCGTTCTTGATTTGTCTGACGACCATTCTAATTTCTTCCGTCGTTGGTGGGTTGACATCTATAGGAAGATCTCTACGTGCTGCTTCGATGTCCGGTGGATTGATTGGAGCCGGTCTATTCAGGAGTTCCTCAAAGTATTCTACCCATCTGTTTCGCTGCTGTTGAATTTCAGTGATTGGCTTGCCTTCTTTGTCTTTGACCGGCCTCTCTGGTTTACTGTATTTCCCTGCTAGTTTCTTCGTTGTATCGTAAAGCTGTTTCATATTTCCTTCTCTAGCAGCTTTTTCTGCCGTCGTAGCTAATTCTTCCACGTATTTCTTCCTGTCGGCTCTAATGCTCCTCTTCACTTATTTGTTTGCTTCTATGTATTCAGCTTGTGCTTGAACTTTCTCTGCTCGTGTTCGGCTGTTGTTTATTGCTGTCTTCCTGTTCTTCCTTTCTTTGATCTTGTCCAGTGTTTCTATAGAGATCCATTCCTTATGATGGTATTTCTTTAGGCCCAGAACCTCTTGACACGTTGAAGTTAATGCTTCCTTGATGCCTTTCCAGTTGTCCTCCATATTAGTTTCTTCTTCTTTCAGTAGATCTCGTAAGGCTTGGAACCTGTTGTTGAGAGCTATCATTCATTGAGTTTGTCAGTATCTCGAAGGAAGGCTATATTGAACTTTTGTAGTGCTGTTTGTCCACTTGTTCGGTTCCTTTTTAGCTTCAGTTTTAAATTGACTACAACTAGGTGGTGATCTGAAGCTACGTCAGCACCTCTCCTGGTTTTCATATCTTCCATTGTCCTTCGGAATTTTTCGTTGATGCAAATATGATCTATTTGGTTCTCTGTAGTGTGGTCCGGTGAGATCCATGTAGCCTTGTGTATACGTTTGTGTGGAAATATTGTGCCTCCTATGACCAATTTGTTGAATGCACATAGATTTGCAAATCTTTCTCCATTTTCGTTTCTTTCTCCCAGTCCATGTCGTCCCATAATATCTTCATATCCAGTGTTGTCTATTCCGACTTTGGCATTTAGATCTCCCATCAGAATAGTTAGGTCCTTCCTTGGGCATTTCTCAATGATTGACTGTAGCAGCTCGTAGAACTGATTTTTAATGTCGTCGTTGCTATCATTGGTGGGTGCATAACATTGGATAATATTCATTAAGATCCCCTCCTTCTTTGTTTTGAATGATGCTTTGATGATTCTGGATCCGTGAGATTCCCATCCTACAAGTGCATTTCGTGCTACTTTGGACAGCATATGACCGACTCCCTGAGTGTGTGGAGCATTGTCCTCTTCGTGACCGGAGTATAGCAGCATCTCTCCCGTAGCTAGCCTTTTCTGTCCATCTTGGGTCCAGTGGGTTTCGCTGATTCCCAGTACTGCTAAGTTGTATCTCCTCATTTCCATTGATATTTGACTGGTCTTCCCGGTTTCCCACATTGTTCGAACGTTCCATGTACCTATAAAAATTTTTGCTCTGGTTGTTAGAAGGGGCATCGGCCTCGTGGCTTCCGAAGGAACTCAGCTTTCACCATGAGGCGTCATAATTCTTCTAAGTGAAAACCTTCTAACTCTCAGGGCAGAGTTAAAATGGTTTGAATTATTTTTTCTGGTAAGCGTTTTTTTAGTGAGTTAGTTTTCTACGGGATGGGGAGGCTAACCTCATGCCTAACCCTCCTCCTTTACCCGGGCTTGGGACCGGCAGTAACCGTATAAGAGCTACAGGCGGAGTTGCGTGATTACAAAGTAAAACAAATAAGATTCTTGACTTGACCCAAAATGCGTAGATTTGGATATGCGCTGTCGTACAGAGTGATTCATCATAACAGTTATCAGCCTACTTTTTATGCACCCATAGCAAGAGAACCGAAATCCCTCTATTACCATGACCTAGTCATGACAACCTATATTCCAGAGTTATATCAATTGGTTTCACTAGGACTTTCAGCTTCCCTATTCCATGAATTTTATCAAATAGATGATGAAAATTGGTGTTCAAAAATTTCGAAGTGTATCACTTACCCATGCATGCCTGACGGGGATAGCTTCTAAGGCCCAACCACCAGGAATCCATTCAGTCCCTCAAACCGTATGATTATTTTAACGAATTTTCACGGCCAAAAGTAAATGTTTTCATCTACCCTTATACTTATACCTAGTAGTTTTTAAAATGAACCTCAGCCAACTTCTTAAAATTTTCTTTAATAATTGTCAGCGTTCCACCCTTGTTACTAATCGCAATGACATTGAACGCTCGGTTATATCCGAACTTGTTCCTTCAGCAGCTATTGTTAATTCATGCAATGTCAATTATTTAACATTGATTGGCGTGGCCTATTGCTCATTAATGAAAGGAGAGAAGGCCAGATGTGCTTCAGACATTTATAAATTTTTTTAGGCCTTAATTCCCTGGAGTTATTTATTGCAACGACTTCGGCTACGCATCTAGTTCACTTTGGTTATTGAAGAAAATACGTACCGTTTACCTTGCGATTTGCCCTTTTTGACTTTATTTCAGTGCAGCCTGAAAATCATGGTGTTGCGATTCATTTGTTCGTTGTAGAATACCTGTAGATTTTGTAATAATAGTGAAGGCACTTTAATTTATTTCATCTTTATTAAGTTGATTTGTAGTCTTTCCGTGGTATTTTGTTGAGGAATCTTGTGATTTTGGAATTGGAACCTCAAAAAGTTTCTGGAAGTAGAGTCCCTCATTTTTATACCTCTATGAAACTCCACTTCCCTTCACTTGGCACCTTGGTATCTCGAAATGTTGAGTCAATTACCGCCATATTCGTGTCTTCAGATAAAAGAACCCAGGCTTTGCATTCTCATACAGATAGTCTGTAGCTCTATTGATTTTGAAACTTACGATCCTTGAAGCCGAACATACGATAACTCAGGAGATCCACATCCAAAATTTAACAATTAAAGATCAAAAATGGTGAACACGAAAATAACTAACTGGTATAGCATGGATCGGCTATGCAATTATGGTCACACTATGTAACCTACTTCTTTTCTCATTAAATATATTATTCTGTCGTCAGTACAACTGCGTTCTTCAGAAGTGGTAAACATCACATTGCTGACTGTCATGACAGGATGAGTCTGTATATATAATGATAGAACTAACACGTAAGATGTTATAGATTATGTAGTCGCGTCATGGCAAATTTAAAATTTTAGGACTGGGTTTATCACTTTATTAGCAAAGATAAAAGCTCTTAATACCGACCTAGATCATAATTCACAGGCCCTCTACCATGTAAGATGTCACACTTCATGAACTTCATGTGTTTTGATGAAGATTTATACACTTTCAAATTTCATTTGTTTCGTGGTTAGATCACGATGTCATTATTAACGTCAGCCTATCCACAAATGACAAAAGACCAAGAACATTTTGGATGAACAATGTCTTGCTCTGATAGAAAAACAAGCATCTTCAATGAGCACTATGCTTCGAGGTTTCCGAGTTTGAATCACGTTTTAAATGGGTATACTCATTTCAGAACTGCTTGCTACATACGACACACTGCACTCCCTCATTAAAAGAGATGTGATGCAACTCTCTACACGGATAAGTGTGTCCAACCGTTACAAAGATTTGCCCAATATTCAACAATTAGATGACAAAACAGCAAGATAGCTTAGCATTGCAAACGTTAACTTGAACCAAACATTTTCCTATTTTCAGAAAAAAGAGTAACTCGTTAGTAGTCTGTTGATTCAGTCAGTATATTGGTACAGTAAAGTGAATACACAAGTTACTGATCTTTTAATATCAACTACAGCCAGTATGGTGTATTTAAGTTGATCTGATGACCAGATAAATAGACCACAAGTAATATTATGTCTTAGTTCTTAAGATTAGTGGTGGGAGTGGTTGTTAGTTTACGACTGATGCTCAAGTTGGTCTTCCGCTAAACTTTTGTTTTCTACACTAATCTTAGCCGTAATCGTTTTTGTTTAGTTATGTGGTACCAAGTGATCACTTGAGTCCACATGATATGTCAGTAGCATAGCAGTATTTTATCAACCTATAAAACCCATTTTACCAGACGTCGTGTTTCTTGGGACTATGTTCGTGATTACACACTGAAGGTTTATTATGCAAAATTGACTTGTAAATCATCGGCACATGTAATACGTCAGTCTATTCGAGTTGGACGGGAATGGTACGACCTCTTAGCTAGTGTCATAGCCACAACCCCCAGTTAATACTTAGCCTGATTATCCTGTTACGATAACCAGGAACAAAAAGTTTCAGTAGGCGACATCACATATTAGTATTAACTGTTAGCAGAAGTACAGGGAGGAAAAACTACTTCATCCGCCTGTATTTAGGAAGCCGTTAACTGGTGCCTATTTGTCCTCATTGACTTTGATGAAGACAGAAAAAGTGTTGGACATTCAATGATCTGGCTGATGAGTGGTTTGGCTAGGACTCAGTGGCATTGCTCTGGTCCTACAGACTTTCCATTAAATTAGCCACAGGTATTCGGAGTTTGACAACGCTTTAACCGGAAACACCTTCCATATGAAGCGTACCCACCAAGTGAAATCAAAAGACAGAAGTGAGGAGGTTTGAAGATATATTTGATAAGCTATCAATTTATCGAGGATCCTCTGATCTAATCTGACTAGCGGTTGCAGGAGTTGTTGAGCATGGCGTTCCCACTAGTGATCTGGTGCGGATGCATGACCGAGCGCCCTCAGCTAGGTGAGTCCATTAAAACATGTAGTCAGCATTTAATGTCGACAACTTACAGAGATATTTATTTTGGGGATTTATTTACCGCTACATCATAAAGCCATATAGTTCATGAATCGTGTGAGACAAAAATACCTCATGGTGAAATTCATCTACAAAGTCATTCAGAATTTCCGTAGATACTAATTTAAATCTGGAAGTTATCGTATCTACATCACTTATTCACCAGAATATTTAGATTGGATATTGGTTACATATCAAATTGTTCTAAAAGGGAGCGCTTCTTACGAAAAGTTCTGAAGGCACTATTTTTAATCTTCAGAGTAGGGATTATAATTTAATCCTAATGTGCACGGAGGAGAAGGAGATGGTACTTGTTTAGTTTAACTGACCTTTCTTAAGTGCCCCTTATGTATGGAACCGATGGAGGCAGATGACATCTCATTTTACCCGTGTGATTGCCGGTACCAGGTAAATAAATGAGTTATCCCGTCATAAAGACTAGGTATGCCGGTTTTGCTGGGCTAAGATAATTAACGAGGAAAATGGGCTTTGTCCAGCTTGTCGAAAGGTAAGGCTCAGCAGCTTGTATAGGATTGTTTAGGAATATAATTCAGAAAAACCGGCATCTTACAAACCTATTTCAGAGACTGAGTAAGTGATGAATTTGGAATCTACTCGTTTCCTAGGGAATCTCGTTGTAGGTCTAGTAGAAGACGCAAGGATTATATAAAGAAGACAAAGCTTAATCCAGAAATGCTCAAAATCCTCCCAGAGTTAAGGTAATTTTTTATCAAAGAATGATATAGTTGGCTAGAGTTGTTCAGCCAAATCTGATATTTGTGGTCGGTTTACCTACATGGATCTCAAAGGATAAGGAAATACTTAAAGGTCAGAATTATTTCGGTCGTTATGGGAAAATTTTTAAAGTGGAAGTTAATCAAAACCAAACTTTCGGTGGACCACAGGTATGTTTAATGAATGATGGTGACTGTGTTCAAACTTGTGTCCTAAGAGTATTTTGCAAATTGCTTATATCGCCTCTCTCTCTCTCTCGAACTTTTCAGGGTCAACCTAGTTTTAGTGCTTATATAACATATTATCGGGCTGAGGATGCCATGCGGTCTATAAGGGATCTTAATCAGAGCACTTTACATGGGAGACCAATCCGTGTATCACTTGGAACTACAAAGTACTGTAGTCAGTTTTTAAGGGGCACGAAATGCACCAAACATGTGAGTTCCATGGTTGCAATCTATTACTGTAATTAAAAATCATTCATACTCGTTTAAAGCATGGTTTTGTGAATAGTTCCGTGTAACTGTCATTACTCTCTCAATTGCAGTTGGTTACTAATCAGATTGGATACAGGGTATTAGTTTTGTCAGCCTCCTCTCATATGCTTAAAAAATTTATAAACCCAACAAGTCGTCTTCGAAATGCGAGTGGTTAGAAACTACCGTACTAACTCTTGTAAAATCAGTAGATTGTGTCATTTGCTTAGTTTATCGTCCGCTATTTTTCTTTACATATTTTAAAAAATGCCTGCCCAGTTCTTTCTTGTTTTGACACAGTTTTAAGCGCTTGGGAAATAATCACCAAAACGTACGTTTCATCAAAATGTTTTAAAATAGATGATAAGCTAGTACCGTAAACTTTATTCCTGGTTTCGTTGACATCCTGTGTTAGGTTATTTTTGTTTATGTGATGTTATTTTACTGAGTGCTCGACAAAGTACTTGATTCTGAACAGAAGGTAGTTGTTTAGTCGGGATATAAACTAATTGTATCTACGCCACTTGATTCAAGGTAGGAAATTCAAGGTTCAGTAAACTCCTTATAAAGTTTATTTTTACTACAAACATCCTGTACTTTACGTAAGATTGGCAACTTTATTATGTTATGTGTATAACTGTATGTGTTGCACCCTATCAAACGATTATATAGAGAATACTTCATTCTTTAACGAAGTTTCCAAACAAAACTTCGGTCTTTCGATAAGTCTGTACAATACTACTTTTTAAGTCCGGCCACTCTAATACCACCAAAAAGCTACCCAGATTTAGCAACTTGACTCAATACAAATTTGTTTGATGATACATTGACTGAAAAAGCCACTCACGAAACAAGTCAACAAGGATTTTGTAGTTACTGCTACATGTTTTCAAGTTATTGAAAATATTTCATACATCAATGGGTAGAATGTGGAGGTTTAAGTAGTTTAATAATCCATTTCGTTAACTTGAAGTGACTTTCCACACTTTAAATTTTATGGTTTTCTCGTAGACTTGGATTTTGTGTACCCAGCAATTTCATTTGATATTGTATCAGTATTTTGCCTACGCTTCATATCTTTGTAATTTTCTAAGAAGAATATACAGCTTTTTGTTGAACACTAAAGATTACCGTGATCATTTTGTTCTGTCTTTAGTTTTTATAATATTCTGAATAGTGCTAAAGTATCCTGTCACATGCAAGTATAGTTAAGTAAGCTCTCTAAGAAAGTAAGCAAGCCGTTTCTAAAAGTAAACGGTTTGATCCAACAGATGAACAAACAACTCTCTGTTCTTAGTCACAGACTTTTTGGTTGGATTGCCACTTTTTGTATTTAATCGAGGTTTTTAAATATAAAAATAAGTTGTTCAGCTGAGTCATCAGCCATTTAGAAGCTAAGCGAAAATACCCCTACATTTAGTCAAGCTGTCCATTTTTGTGTCACACTCGTTAGACTGCATGTTTACTAAACCATGTAACAATATACAAATTCTGTTTAGTAGTGGAAATTCCATTGACCACTGATACCATCATCAAAACATCAATCAGACTGGCTAATAACAAATGACTTTATTGATTATTAGGCATTCATTTTGTTATGTGCGTTCCGTTAATGATTTAAGTGTTTCCGTTAGATCCTGATCCGATTGTTTTGTGCGGTTAGACCAACTAATTAGTTTATAAAACGGGTTAAATATTACTGTTATATATATAACTTCAGAAATGTGATTTACTATTTACTTAAGTTCTTGAAATCTCCATTGAGGTTTTTCATGAATTACGGCTAATTTTCAGCCTGTTTTTACTACTCGATCTTCCTAAAAGGATAAATAACAGTTGTTATCATACCGATGCACATATGTGCATGGTCCTACGTTGTAACTGACTGACTGATACCAAAAGCTGGTATCCCTTTTCACTTCCCTTGTGTGAAATAAGTTAAAGTCGTTTCACCTGCGTGTTCATTCGATTGCTACTTGTGTGATTAATAACAAATTAACTGCTCAGTCTTTTAATCATTTACAGACCTTGGGGTAAATGTTCATTAACCCAAGTTCTCAAAATAAATCAGTGCAATAAGATGAAATTAACATGATGGCAAATAAAAAGTCGAAATAATTATGGTAGCTTTGTTAGTGAGGAAGACTATACACTGAGGATATGATAAAAATCAACTTATCTAACATCCGAATATATATATATATATATATATATATATATATATATATCATCTATTGTGACGAATTAGTCCTTCATATTTTTTTAAAATGCTTAGAAGTATCAAAAAATGAATATCTCGAAACGACCTACCATTTTTAGTTTGCTGAGATGTCTAACCTTTTCATTTCTTTTTTCTGAGTGTTTTCAATACATAGAGGTTTAAAGTAGTTTATTTTATACGGTTTATTGGTTCACAAACCTATTGTTATGCTTACTAGGTAAGACAGGTTTCATCGAGGTAGTTTACGTTAAAGTCATTCTACTCACATCCTAACAGCGTTTTTGATTATGATTACGCTTCATAAGTATTGAATATATAGCTGGCTTTGTCATTTATCACAGTATTTAAGTCATGATTACTTCGTCAAGATTATGTCTTTTAACTTACATGCCATTTTGATTTTTCACAAACGATTATTTTTGTTTCAAGGAATGCATGTACTTGCATGAACTCGGTGATTCAGCTGCTAGTTTTACTAAAGAAGAAATGCAAGCTGGAAAACATACTGAATACATGAACAAGTTGTTGCAAGATTTCTGTCAGTCTAAATCATATTCACTTGATTCACAAAAGGAAGAAACAACTATCTTAGGTTCACTAGATTCTTCTGTCTCAAGTCCCAATGATGCTTCAGTACCTCATACCAGTGAATCAAGCAGCTACTCAAATGGACGTAATCGCTTCAGATTTGAAGACACATCCATGCTGTCTGTAGAAAACTCGGGGGTGCAAGTTTCAGATCGATGCACTACACAGTCTGATCAAACAAGTGCATCACTTAAGGAGATTCGTAAATTAAGGCATACTAATAAAGATAATTCAAATGCTGTCTCAGTTTCCGATACCTCATTGGCTGATAAATCTAAACTAAATTATAATAATTCTAACAAACCGAGTAGTTGGAATCATTCGTCATCAATTTCATCATCAGATTATCCAACTAGAAAGCTCGGGAAAAACTCATTTGGTACTTTTCATTTCAAGAATTCGTCTGAAAATACAAATACAGATAAATCATACGTAGATGGAACTAAAGGTAACCATGTCCGGCACCATAATTCCACCCAGAATCGGATTTTGTTGCCTCGCTCTGTCCCATCTAATCAAGTATCTACACGTACTGAGCCTATTTGTACCAGCAGTAATGGCTGTCATCGTACATGGTGTCGTCCAAATCCAGAGAATTCTTCAAATATCCAACCTCTATTAGGAGATGAACCCGCAGATATTGATTTTGACCCCTTTCGAGAATCTCAGCAAGGTTTAGCTGAACTTTTAGCTGCTGAAGTTTCACGTCTTAATGTATCTGAACCTCTGTTCAGTCATCGTGTTTGCTTAACCAATGGATCTTCAGTTGGCATTTCTCACTGTCCAAGTGAACCACAATCCTCAAGTTTAGACACTAGGCTTCCTCAAGCTAATTTTAGTCTCAATTCTGCACAAGCTGAAAAACTGCGTTCCTGGTACTCTAATATAGTATCACATAACAGAAGCAACCATGTTGATCCAAACAAGTCATTTAACGTGAGTCCAAATACTTTCTCTAATCTTTATCCTCCGCCGGGTTTTGAAGAGGCTGTACAAGGTCACGACCAGTCTTCGGATGGTCAGTTTTTGACATCTAAAACAGATATATTAAACTCCAATTATCCAGAATTATCATACTCATGTCCTGAAAGCTTTGGATATAGCAACAACGTACGTAGCACAAATGGATCGTTGCTACAGTCGTGTGCTTTTCCTTGTAGTCTTCCTTTTACAGGCTCTACAGAAAAATTGATGACAACTGATAATTGGATACAGGCTAAAAAGGTATCCGATCACAATGCTATCTATTCAGACACTTTATTTTCGTCTATTCCTGCTGTGCTACCCGATATTAGTAACGCATTAAAACAAGATGATTTACCTCCACACTTATCTAGTCAGTTCATGACAAACATATTTAATGCTGTTTTAAATTCCCAATCAAGTATGAATAATAATGAATCAACTGGAACACATGTTAAATCCTCAACAAAATCTTCAGCTTCTATGTTTGACTTCAGTCAGTTTGTTAACCATCTTTATCATCAATCCTCTGGGTTCTTAGATATAAATGCCCATAATCCTAATCAGTGGTCCACTAGGGTCAATATACCATTTGCTTGTACACAAAGTGAGGTTTTAGATGCTTCTATTTATTCAAGTTCATTAGCACCAATGTCCAACACATTAACTTTTGGAAAATATGGATCTAAAATGTGTTCTCTACCTAATAGCAATGACTATCAACAACATCAGAAGATGGCCTTTAGCACAGTAAGTATCCTTTTGTATTTATACTTCTTTTTGTCTTTGAATAAAGTTGTTAATAATTTTACCTAGATCGATTCAAAAATGTCATAACCAAAACAAGTTGTCTGGGATAAGAATAGCTCTTTTAATTTGTTTAAAAATAATACAAATCGATTATCGTCCAAGATGTATTTAATCATCATCTCTGATATACATACCAAATATATTTTCTTCTGTTTATGAATACGATTTATTGATGAATCATAGCAAGCTAGAATCAGTTTTTGTTTTAGGACGAACCCTTATTTATAAGTTTGTAACGACACTTAAACACAAAAGTGATTTCTATAGGGTTCAAAGAGTGTATACTCAATGTGGTTGAATTTTTCATTCGAGATTCTCAGTTACTTATTCAAGGGTTAGTTTTTATCTGATATATTTGTCGTTCTATGCTGTTTTAAATTCCCAATCAAGTATGAATAATAATGAATCAACTGGAACACATGACAAATCCTCAACAAAATCTTCAGCTTCTATGTTTGACTTCAGTCAGTTTGTTAACCATCTTTATCATCAATCCTCTGGGTTCTTAGATATAAATGCCCATAATCCTAATCAGTGGTCCACTAGGGTCAATATACCATTTGTTTGTACACAAAGTGATTTCTATAGGGTTCAAAGAGTGTATACTCAATGTGGTTGAATTTTTCATTCAAGATTCTCAGTTACTTATTCAAGGGTTAGTTTTTATTTGATATTTGTCGTTCTATCAGCAGTTTTGTCTTCTCGATATTTTTTTCACCATAAATTCTTCCGATTTTCCTATTCACGACAAATGCGTACAAAAAAACTAATCAGAGAATATGTAAGCCATAGTTTGAGATGTTACTGATTTGAACACTGTACTGACTTTAGTAGCTCATTGATTCTGACCGAAATCACATTTATAAAAAAAGTAAATTATACTTTGAAAACTGATTAATCCGATAATGATCGTTGAGATCATTTTATCAATCTATTACTCAAACAGGCGAGCAATTAATGTGATATGCGTTGTTTCCCAAAACTGGATAATGATAATTTCATTCAATTAATGTTACTCTAACACTTGATGATAAAATGAAAGTCAAGCAAAAATAATAAAATTGGAATGTATGAGAAAGAGGTAGTATTTTTCTTTCTCGTATCAGTCAATGATCACTAGCTTCTATTATTCATTCTTTGTTTACTCATCATATTCTTTTGGCATACTCCTTAAAATAACCTTTCCTTATCTAATGTTCTTTAATAACTTCAAAATCAAGCGTACTAAGTTCATACATGTTCACATAAAGTGGATGATGGGACATAGCTAGTTTGCATTTCAACTGTCTCGATCCGTCTGACTGCTGCAAAGTCAAAATAGGATATGGAAAACATTTTTGAGTGTATAATTATGTCTAACTGTCTTACAGTTGTCGGTATAAAGTTTCATTATTCAACTCATCCTATCACTTAATTGTAAACTAGTACTGTACCAATCAGGCTTGTACATTCCATCAAACTGACTGGACTATATGGTCAGAAATACAGAAGCAAATGATGACCGAGGAACTTCCTAACGTCATCACGGAAATTGGACCAAGAAAGCGTAAACGATAAAGATAAAAACCACTCACATTTCTCCAAATACCTAGTAATTACTTATTAAGCAGGTCTTTCTTCTAAGTTTTCTTAAATCTTGTATGTCAGTTTTGATTGACAGTATTTTGAAGGTACTTGTTTTCTGAATACCCTTTATACTTATTATTGCCCTTCAAATATTACTTTTCACTATTCCTTCCTTTAAAGTATTCGTGGTGAATATCATGAATTTACTAAATTTAGATTTCTTAATACAAAGTTTGTTATTAACAAGATAATTAGATTATCATGTAAATAATCATATCAGAAAATAATATCAGTCTACTGTTGGCTACTTTCTCAAAAGACACGGGTCGTATCACAGCCCACCCACAAATCAAGTGACTTGTGTGGCACATATGTACTCGGTGCCCCTTTGTACCAATATTTATGTGTTCAAATAAATAAAACTAAGCAAAGATGATATATCAGTTGGTGAGGTCGTGAACCTTTATTTACTGAAATGGTTGGAACACATGTTATGTATTTTCAACTATCTCCCACATCAACTAACGGTGTTGGCTCACGTAGAAATAGGTTGGAAAAAGCTAAGGACGACAAAATCAAGAGATGACATCATTCCATGAAGACATTCACCGTTGGAGTGAACTATGTTGATAGAAATGAACTAGCTGGTTGAGGTCTGCAGTATAACCATGATCACTGTTTGTAGACATTGAGTGACATGACTTAGAACAGGTCGCAATAGCACAGATCCATTTACCCTTTATCATCGTCTAGATCTTCAGTTCTGGTATTATACTTCATACACAGCTTTTCATATTTTCATTTCCAACCATGTTATCAATGTTTAGTCTTCTCTTTAAAGTTTCTACTCCTATACTATTCACCTAATTTATTTCATCTCGCCATGGTAATGCGAAATGACAACTTGGTCTAAGGCAAATTTGTCCTAGGCTCCATGTTGTCTGTGATTGAGTATTTATTGATTATTATTTATTTAAACATGAACATTGGTATAAGAAGGCACCGAATATATATCTGCCACAATCCATTCGATTTGTGTGAGAGCTGGGATACTACTCGGGCGCCCAGACTAAAGCAGGTGGTTCTCTTAGAATACAACTTCTCGAACCTTTGACCTAGAGGTCCAATCCACGAGATAGTGGAGTAATGTTTTGAGATGCAGTCCCATGGCATCCGTTCAGCAACAATGGGTTTATACACCATTTGTTCCCTTAGGATCCTCGAGCTCATGTGCACCAATTGTTTGGAATCATGTTTCTCCAACTCCTCTAGGTGAATCCTTTATATCCATCGGCCCGGTTTAAGCGTCGGATATTAGCTTTTCATCCCCCCAAGTGCCCTGGTACGGCCGAGAGTGGGGAGAGTCCGCTCTCCCACTCGAAATGCTCTCACATAGCCACGCGTATATAGCCTCTGCCAGGGAAGTCCTACTCACTGCCTTCTCATGGCGGGGGTGTTGTTTACGAAAATGAGAGGACGAAAAGCGAATATCTGACGCTTTAACCGGATTCCAAACCCATGGTGCACATGGACTCCAGTATCCTGAGGAAACAAATGGCGTATGAACCAATCGTTGGTCACCGGCTACCATGGGACTGCATGTCCTCACGATGATCCACTGCCTTGTGGATTAGACCTCCAGGTCGAAGGCTCGGGGAGTGGCCCCCTAAGAAAACCACCTGCTTCGGTTTGGGCACCCGGGTAGTATCACAGCCCTCACACATGTCGAATGAGATTTGTGTGGCGCATATGTATTTGGTGCCTCCTTGTACCATTATCTATGTGTTATAATAAAAAAAATAATTTGACTATCTATTATCCTTTGTGGAATCATAATTAATGTTCAAATATACTACGTATATACTAAAAGCATCATGGGTTTTCACTGTAAATTGATATTTGTCCACGTTTTAAATTTCATGATGAGGTTCATTGCCTGCTTTGGAAGGCTCTTAAGTACTGTTTTCGTCCCTGTCTGCAATGTTTGTTTCGAAGTTTGTTTTCGTATTTTTGTTTTAACTAATTTTCGTCTTGAGATAGTACCATTTAAAGTATACCGTGATCGTCCTGTATTTGACAGTGATGTTTTCGTAATATATGACTCTTTCGACACGTAAACACCCAGTTCCCCTCCAAGTTGAGCTCACTACACACAGACTTGTGATAAACATATCATTTGTGAATTTACAGAACGAAAGTCAGTAGTTGGTGTTTCGTAACTTTAGTCATCAATATGTCATAATATATATGGCTATCATAAAGTTCCATCGCAGTTTCTGTGCTTCTATTCATTCAGTAGTTGGTTAATTAAAATTATTTCATTCTAACCCCAGATCATGGCATTCATTTACTTCGTATCTACCTAGCTACTTACCTATTGATCGTTGCTTATCTATATTTACACATGGTTCAATGAAATCTGTATCATGTTTGTTGTTTTCTTCAGAATACCTACATTGGTAGTAATAAAAAAGGATAAATGAATGTTCACTTAAGTGGTGCAGATTTGTATATTTTAAGAATAAATTTCTTCGCAAATCTGAATATCAACTAGAGAAGCATAAGAAACAATATTACACTAAATAGCTGTTTCATTTTAGATTGGAACTATTCGGGAATGTGTATCCGCAATTCTCCATCGGGTTTATTACGTCTTGTTACGTGCACAATACTTCCATTCTAATTAGTCGGAATACATAATGACCTACATTTCTGATTTGTAATCATTTTGCAAAATATAGCATAACCCTTCTATAACATCATACCTGTATATGCTATTTTAGCTATAAGGGATAAAGTATTCTGAGAACCAGAAAAACACTTCACACGAAGTGAGACGATAATTTTGTAATGGAAATAGACAGAAAGATCATACAGCCACTAAATAAATGAACAAATATAAGATTTCTTATGTAATGTCATGCAACTAAGAAAGAAAACCAGGAGATATTTCGGTTAGTTAAATACATTCATCTTAACTTTATACAGTATATACTGTGTTTGGCGATCAGGAAGCTCATCCAATTATCATCATTATTCCCAAACACTACTTACTTACATGGTGTTGCGACTGAATGCCAAAAAAATCTTTGAAATCACCTTTGATAGAATTTATAAAAGAGACAAATTTCTAAAGCATAAATTAGAACTACTCTTATCAATCCACTAGATATCCAATTTGTAACAGATAGATAAATATTGTAACATAATCAAAATTAACTCAGATTATCATTAGTAACTTTGATTTTCACTGTATACATTGATATAGTCTGTCACATTTCAATATTTTGACATGATTAATATTTTTATTATTATTATTTTTCTATTAAGATTAATACATATAAGTAGTATTATCACGATATAAATCTTATTAG